CAGCTCTTGTATGCATATATAAATAAATCTTCAAAAAGAGAGAGAGAACGCATTAGCTTCAAGTTTAGGAGCAAAGATACTAGATTTATACTTGCTTTCAATAGATAGGTAGGTAGATAGGTAGGGAGATAGATGGATATATGGATATATATATAACATACACATTTTTTCATAAAGATTAGCAACTTGAGATATCAACTCAGCTTTAGAACATTCAAAATATAAATCCTATCACAGTATTTTGCCACATACCTTGAAAAAATTATCACAACCCATAAATCCCTTATAGTAAATTTAAAGAGCAAGCATGTTCATTTTTGTTTTGAAGATAAAAATACTAAATAATGACTTTTCATGTATATATCAAATATAGTTCCTGGCACAAGGCAGGCACTCAAATTATAAGTATTATTATCACTGGCTACCCCTGAGTCAGGGTCCACACTGGTCCAATAAACTGGCCAGAATGACAAAGCACACAGTATAGAAAGAATTCAGAAGGGGTGGGTGCTGTGGGCAAGGCCTGCATAGCCAGTTAAGAAGAGAGATCTCCATCCACAAAGCACCAAGAAAATACAAAGTAAGAGTATAGACAGCAATGTGTCCAGCACAGGCAGGAAGGAGAAACTCTCACCAGAGGATTATGATTTCCTGAAGTTTCACCCCAAGTAATCTTCTGATTACAATTTTGCTTTCATATAGATTTTCCTAGAAGAAAAGTAGGTGCCATATAGTTGATTTGAGGAGTTGGGTCTCCTAGGTATACTTCCCAATGTAACATTTTTTTTTAATTTTTTAAAATTTTATTTATTTATTTATACAAGCTCTGGGTACAGTCAGAAGTGCAGGAGGGTGAAAGAATTCACCAGAGCCAGAGCGGGGAGCAGAGCAGGCAGAAGGACCGAAGTACACTGCTGAGGGGAGCAGCGGGCAGCAGGAGAGGTCTGCGCGCCATGTGGGACCCTCGCCTGAGGCTGGGGATCGAACCGGCGCTGCAGAGGCTGCGGGCAGCTTCGCAACCCAGCGCTCAACCTCTGCGCCACCTGGGGAGGCCCTTCCCAACGTAACATTAAATTAATAATCAGTTGTTCATTTTAATCCACTGTGAATGATCCGTCTAACTTGCCCAGGGCTGCCACTTCCTAGGATGTTAATACATCTGCTAGGGCTGCCAGAACAAAATACTACGGATTGGGTAACTTAAATGATGGAAATTAATTTTCTCACCTTTCTGGAAGTTAGAAGTCCAGCAGCTTTGTTTTCTCCTGAGGTCTCTTTCTTTGTGAAGCACCAGCAAATCACAGAGCAGGTTCTCCATGGATCAGCAGGAAAGGGTCCTGGAGCCCTCAGTGGCTTTTTCAGGCTTTAAATGATCTTTGGACACAATTTGTAGTAAGGTAACTAGGTGCAGGGAGTGGGGGGGTGGAGCGGAGGGCCCGTAGGGTGTCAGGCCTCTTGGCCCCCCTCGAATCTTCACTTTCTGGGCTCTCCAGCATTCTCTCGTGGTCTCTCCTCTGGCCTCTACTGCTCTCTGCTGAAGGAGCCTCTGCGGCCGCGTTTATACGCTCAGTCTCTGGCTCAGGTGTGCCCATTCACACACGCCCACACCGTACTCTAGGCACCGAAATCAGGTACGCGTGTAAGACGACAGGTGTTAACCATAGATGCTAATGGCGGGAGGGTAGAAAAAAACTGAAAACTTCCATTTACCCTACACCTTGGCTTGCAGATACTTGTCTTCTTGCCACGTCCTCACATGGTTTCTGCGGAGTACCTACATGGGAAGTGTCCAAATTCCTCTAAGTGCTCATCAGTCAGAATGGATTAAGGTCCAATTTAGCCTCGTTTTAACCAAATCACCTCTTTAAAGGCCTTAGCTCCAAATCCAATCACATTCTCAGGTAGGAGAGGTAATAAGCACTTGCCGGGGACATAGCTGAGCCCATAACAAGGTATCGACATTTCGAGTTTCTGAGCCCAGGATGTAAAGACGAGACCCCGAGCCATCGGGGCCAAGTGACCCACCTGACATGACAGTGCAGTTCCCGCAGTTCACCCGAGAAGACAGCCCAGGTCTCCCCCACTTTTCAAAAGTCCAAGGTAGGCAACACCTGGGCTTTTAAGAACGACCTGCAGCAGTGCCTGTTTACTAATCAAGAGAAAGCTAAAGCGTTTCCTGTTTTTACGACAAAAGCAAAAAGTGCAACTGGCGTCAGCGTTAGCGTCAGCTTCGCAGCAGCCGTCAGGGACGCCGTGGGCGCCGCGAGCTGGGCAGACGCCGCCCTCCAGGCCTCCGCCCGGCTGCTGCAGCCCGGCTGCGCACCTGATATATCGCCCGTGCTTTTGCTGTAGGTTAGTGTTATTTTAGGTTTTATGTGATTTTGTATGAGTTGGTATGTTAAGTGGGGGTTCTTGGCACTCTCAAAAAAAATTCTGTATGTGAGTGGCAATTGCTTCTTGGCTTTATGCTATTTCGACTTTCAAAAGGTTTGTTAGAAATGCTCTACTTTTGGATGTAGAGGTGAAGGGGGAAATCTGTAAGAAACATGCACTTTTTGCAACTCCACTTTAAATTTTCATGTTCCTTCTTTAATATTTTAGGTTTCCTTATCTTTAGCAAGAGGCTACACAAAACTGAAATGATATATTCATTCATCCTACATTCATTTTCCTAATCTTATAATTCATTTTAGCTCATGTTTAGTATACTGAACTTAGTGGGCCCATAAACAAAATCTCAGAAATAACCACCATTATCCCTGTTCTTCTTTTTAAATAACTATCAGTGAGGTGCCCAAGGGTTTGTCAGTGGTGTTTGTATGTATATCAGAACAACTTTTACGTGAAGCCTGCAGTGAGAGGTACTCAGTACTAATCTACCAATATGAACAATGAGAAAAGGGATAGAATGTGGAGTGTGTTAAGGTTTATTAATAATTACTAATGATGGGGCCTCCCTGGTGGCGCAGGCAGTTAAGCACCGCACTGTGAAGCTGTCCTCAGCCTCTGCAGCACAGGTTTGATCCCGGCCAGCTGGCCGAGATACCCACATGGCGTGGCAGACCTCTCCTGATTTGCCCGCTGCTCCCCTCAGCAGTGCACTTCATCAGTCTGCCTGTTCTGTTCCCCACTCTGTCTCTGGTGAATCCTCTCACCCTCCCGTGCATCTGGCCTGTACCCCAGTTCTTGTACAAATAAGTAATAAATAAATAAATAAAATAATTACTAATCATGAACTGGGTTTGTGATGGATTTTTTTTTTTTAATGGGAAATGACAGGAAGGTGGGCAGAACTTGAAATAGTGGAAGTTGTTACAGAAAAGGCCCATAAATTGATTCTAAAACAGACGCTAGTCATAAGCAAGAGTGGCAGTAGCCACTACGTCACATTTCACAGGTTCTAAAAATTCTCCTAAACTAAACCTTTTCAATAGAAGTCTAATGGCAAACTGCTGATAACAAAACATATCTATAAGACTTTAATCAGAGCAAGTATATGGTTATCTGAATATCAATATTATGAAATAGTTTTGAAAGGAAATGTATTAAATCAGGTTTTTTCCAGTTTTTTTTCTTTATTTTTATTAAGTACCCATTATTTTACATCCTTGCTAATGCTTTGACATTACAGGACACCCGCCTCAGGGGTAGTCACTGTAGCCCTCCCTCCACCAAAGCACCCATACTCTTCCACCATAATCCATTATGCTCTCCCACCCCTTCCTGTTTTTACGGCCCTCCCTCACCCTTCCCTGCAGAAAGCCTCTAGTTATAAAGTTTATCTTTGACTATTTGTTTAGTCTTACTGTATTTCACATATAAGCAATATCATTTGGTTTTTTTCCTTCTGGTTTATTTCATATAATATAATCCCTTCCAGCTCACCCATGTTGCTGCAATTGGCATGAGTTTATCTATTTTGATTGCTTAGTAACATTCCACATCTTTTTGATCCACTCCTGTTTTGGGGCATTTAGGTTGTTTCCATACTTGGCTATTATAAATAGTGCTGCTATAAACATGGGAGTACAAGTTTCCTTTTGAATTAGTGTTTCTGTATTCTATGGACACCCAGGAGAGGGTTGTTTGCTTTTGGTTGAGTTATATGAATTCCTTGTAGATCTTTGGTATCAGTCCCTCGTCAGATGTACGATGTGCAAATATTTTTCCTCATTCAGTAGGGTGTCCCTTCATTTTAGTTGTAGTCTCAATTGTAGTTCCAATTGTTTATATTCTATTTTGTTCTCCGTGCTGCTGGGACAAGTATGTAGATATCTGAGGTTTATGTCTTGGAATGTTTGTTCTGCTTTCTTCTATGTATTTTATAGTTTGAGGTCTTGCATACAAGTCTTTTATCCATTTTGAGTTTTATTTTTTTTTTTTTTTTTTTTTTTTTATAGAGGCATGTTTTTATTTATTTATTTGTTTGTTCGTTTGTTTTGTTTGTACATGCACTGGGTACAGTCAGAAGCGCGGGAGGGTGAGAGAATTCACCAGAGCCAGAGTGGGGAGCAGAGCAGGCAGAAGGACTGAAGTACACTGCTGAGGGGAGCAGCGGGCGGCAGGAGAGGTCTGCACGCCATGTGGGACCCTCCTCCGGTGGCCGGGGAGCAGCCGGGAATCGAACCGGCGCCGCCGAGGCAGCGGGCAGCCTCGCAACCCAGCGCTCAACCGCTGCGCCACCGGGGAGGCCCCATTTTGAGTTTTAAATCGTAGTTTTTAAAATAAAGACCTCCTATTTCAAACTTTAATACTTATACAGTACATTCTTAAAGTATAACATATTTGTATATTTTTAAGTATAACTTAGCTGCCTTAAATATCTAAATATACCCTAATAATTGAATTTGAATTGTGGTTCAGAAAAGCAGAACCATTTGTTCAACATTCCAACACTCCATATCTATTAATATAATTAACTCAACTCCTTCTTGGTAGTATACAGGTTTAAATAGTAAAAGAACTTATGCACAAGTAAGTCAAGATACCACAATGACACTCAAACACATCGTTTTATTTATATACTAAATTTAAAAATACAAATCTTATTAAAATGCTTATGAAACATTGTATACATAAGTACTGTCAAATACTATCAGATTATGACATTGTGTAAATTGCTAAAGTTAATTAGAATCAGAACAAAGTACATAACTGCTGATAACAAATTTCAGAAGTCAAATATTTTAACATTTGGCAACGTGAAGTAGTGATCCGCACAGGAAGATGTCTGCAGAGGTAAAATAGTAAGAAAATAAAGGATTAATGCAGGTAGTCCTGCCCTATGTGTTAATAAGTGGGTCTCTTCCTCATCTGCTTAATTCTCATTATAACAGAAATTAAAGTGCACAAGACCACCAGGAATACTTGATTTGGTTGTACCCTAATACAGACTACAGCCAATTATGCTGCCATATTAAGGGTTACGATTCTTTGTACTGTTCCTGAGGTTTTAGAAGTTAATTTTGAATGTGGTGAAGGGAAGAGAGGCCAATACTTTCTAAATTGCACCAAGTGGCCTTAAAGTGTAGAAACACCAAAGATAAAAATATTAACATGGGGATAAATTCAAGAAAATTATTCCTATTTTGCCCTGGGAATAAAATTAGGGTAAGAACCTAGTTTTACCTCTGGAAAAAGCTTACTAAAAATCTGTTTCAAAAGACCAGACATGTACAGCAAGCACCACAATACTGTCAGTTACTGCTTACCACTTAGATACTGCATCATAAATACCAGGCATAAATACCTGCCCTCTAAAGGCTCACAAGAAATACAGGTAGAAGCATGTGATTACTTGACACTAATTTTACTAATTAACATTAAGTATAATTTGTAAAAATAGGTCACCATCATACAATCAAGGAAGAGGAGAAGGAAAGCTGCTAGTCTATAAAAGTGCTCCTTTTAGCTTTCAAACCCAATAGCTTAATTTTGGGTAAAACAAGATTGTAAAGTAAGGCCATCAGTTCTAAATAAGCTGATGAAGCCATATATACATACTCACATATATATGTTTAAATTTCAATTCTGATTTAACACTAATGTACTACTACAAACCATTTCTAGGAAACATTTTATCAGGCTTATTTACAAACACACGATCAGTGACAAAGATATGGAAAATTTTAAAAACTGCAGGTATATGTAGCCATTTAGCAATATAATCCACTAAAGATAAAACATTTACATAATGTTTTTAAAAACCAAAGAAGTTTTGTAAGAAACCCCTACCATATATACCTATGGGTCATTGGACCTGATAGGCAAATAAATGGATGATCATGATTAAACTTGTATTACTATCTCAATATCCTATCAGTATGAGGTCTACTTAGAGTACTACCTGCAAATACACAGTCTCTCATGATTCGATGAGAATATTAAGTTATTGAATACATTTTTTACTCCCATGGCACATCACACTTGGTAACACTAATAAGGTAGATTTAGATAACACTTAAATCATGATTACGAATGTTTAATTGAATATTTTCCTTTCTGTAGCTGCGAAATGTAAAGCTTAGATTTGCTTCCATCAGGCCTCTTAAACCAAACTTCATCATGGTTAATTGTTGTAATTACAGCACTAAAAGAGAAAAAAAAAAAAAGGAAGGAATGAATGAATGAATTACAATATGCCTCCTCCACTCATTTTAGAGAATTAGCTTTCATAAAACCAGAATAGCTGGGCTATCAGAGTAGATTCAGGTACGTAATTGTCATTTACCAGAATGCTGCACTACCAGCAGGACATGCTGTCAAAAATATCACATTCAGCAGTACTTAATAATCTCCTTTCTTTTCTTAATAGAGTTGGCAAAATTTACTGTTAACATAACTATTAAATGCATATCATTCCTAGTCTATTGCCAACCCCCAAAAAGAATGGAGTTAAAACCACTACTTAAGTTATTACTCCAATAATCAGCCTTGACTATACAAAATCTGTCAAACACCAGTCCCTAATTCCCAGTGGCAAATCATCTATGATACTGCTACAGATTTTTTGTGACACTAAATCTTCATATAAAAATCCTTCAAATATATGTGTGTTTAATACTTTCATATACTATTTAACCTCTTAAATTACATCCCTGTAGTTCACATTCATTCAAACAACAGTAAAAAGCAAAAAAATCCACGGATGTGATATATAAAATAGCAATTAGTTCAATGAATTTCTATGACAAGAGTTATTCACAATGCTCCTGGTATCCTAAAACAACAGTTTTAAATTATAATCCAATTAATCATATTTGGAAAAGGAGTGTTCTATACTGAACACAAACACTTCATTTACCACTGATAGCTAGAAAAAGATATTTTCTTATGGTAGATAGTTACTATTCTGAGAATTAAATCCAAACCTACTGAAGGAATGAGAGCAGTAATAAAAACTCACAACTACATAAGACTTAGAAAAATATATAATTACATAAACTTAAAACCTAAATAAACTGAATCTTTTTAAAGACAATTTCAGTTTTCAAGTTACACTTTAATTACTCTAGAATTTTCATTAATTTTCCCCTACTTTCTACTCTTAATTGATACAAATTCTTTTTACCTAAACTACTATAACAAACTCCCAACAGCTAAGGATTAATAGATCCACCAAAAAGTTATAGTAATCTGACTTAAAGATCATAATTTAAGATCATAACCATTCATCTACTATAAAATTAAAATTTAACAAATGGGATCATTTACTGGTCAAATAATATCAACATTTCTACTTGTGTTAATACTTATGTTCATGAACTTAATATGTAACTCCAGTATATTAACACTGGTATTCACACATGCTAATCAAATCATATGTCTAGAGAAAAAAGGATCCACAAGCAACTACTGATACATTATGAATGCACTTCTGGGCAGCAAATATTTATTCACAATGATGTAAATTCTGCCACTGCGCAACACTGAAGTGATTAAGGCTTTTTACCTTGTAGGACATTCATCTTTTTTATCAATACATATTGTTTGTCCACGTATATACCATTCACCATCATAATATAATCTTCCCTCTTCAGATCTAGCACTGTGCAAATGTTTTTCCAGTTTCACAGGTGCTAAAGGGATCAGTTCAGAAACTGTTATATTAATAAGACATTGTCAGAAGAACAAAAGTACAGAACATTAAGAATACCAAGCATATTGAAAAAAAAACAGCATAGCTATTTCTTAGATAACAAACCAAAACCTAATAGAAATAAGGCTTAATTTCTTACATATTTATATAATTCAAAGTTACTAAACAAAGCTGAATAATGTACAATAAATATCAATTAACTAGACAGTTGCCAGAAGTGGGGAGCAGGTAAATTATTAGTTACTAGTGCCAATTTTAAGCAGACTTTAAAATATCAATTGCCATATTTCGACTGAAAATTATATTTTTTGATATTTTCTCCTTGACAGTCATCTGACACTTCCAAAGAAGCAGAGTTTAATATATATTCCAAGAGTTTTCCAGGTCTAAGATTCTAGAACAGAAATTTCCTATGTAGAACTGCCATTTTTAAATCCTAAAAATAGTTTGACATTAATCTGATAAACTCATGTAGAGGTAAAAAAATTTCTTTATGAAGAACACTGTATAAAACATATTATGATACAGGTATCTGCTTCATCATTCAATTATCACTACCACAGAAAGGTCTTCCCCTACCATCCTGTTCACTCCTTAGTTCATCTTCATTACAATTTCATTTTTCCATCATAACAATTATTACAATCTGTCATCATCTTGTTATTTATTTACATATATATTTTTTTGCCTCCCCAAGGAGGTTCTAGGAGGTCCATTTCTTGCACCCTTGTATTCCCAGAGCCTCATAAAGTGCCTGGTATGTAGAAAATGTTCAAAAAGCATTTATTCATTTGTGCAACAAATATTTTCTGAACACTTCCAACCACAAGAATTGTGCTGGGTGCTAAAGAAGAAAAATTGTGACTAAAGAGATGGTTCTGACCTTTGTAAATCTTACAATATAGCCAGAAGACAGATAAACATAAAAAACAATAAATTAAAAATTATAAATTGTGGTAAGTACCATGAAGAAAACAAACAGGATACAAAACTAAAGACGAGTAAGAGAAGAGACCCATTCAACTGAGCAGTGGGATTCTCGAATCAAAATGATTCAAAAATGTTAAGAACCTAGAGATTTAAGTACTTCGTCTCCTTCCCGTTAACTCCCCAGGAAATTAATTTATTATATATTGCTGCAATTTCCTGATATTAAGCTTAAAAAAATCCTTGAGTTAAATATAAAATGAAAATTAATCTTTTATAGATTACTTTATCTGCTTGAATGTGACTAGGAAGTCCTCTTCCTAATATTTAAAACAAGGGTTTTTATTTTTTTTTTTACTTAAATCTAGCTTCATTGTTCATAAAAGAATTAGGAGACAGAAAGTGAAAGAAGGCAAAAGCAAAAAATTAGAAAATAAGGTATATTAACTATTTTGTCAGTGACTTTAGGCCTTCCAAAAAAAAAAAATCAAGAAAGTATAATTTAATGTGAATTTTATTAAGCCTTATCAGAAGTATGTAAATCTTAGTGATGGGTAAACTTTTTTTTGGTATGGACTCCACTGCCACCACTCTAATCTCTCTCCTAGAAAATGCAAGCATCTAAGGAATTTTGTTCATAATTTCAGAACTCACAGTCTCCCTGAAGGCAATCCACAGACTCAAATGTCCTACCCTATAAAATTACTGAGATCATGAAAAACATTTAAGAAATACTTTCAAAATTACTGATTACTAGCTGGGCCTTCCCGGTGGTGCAGCGGGTTGAGCGTAGTGCTGTGAAGCTGTCCGCAGCCTCTGCAGCACCAGTTTGATTCCCTACTGGCCAGGGAGATACCCACATGGAGCAGAAGACCTCTCCTGTTGCACTTGCTGCTCCCCTCAGCAGTGTATTTCAATCCGAATGTCTGTTCTGCTTGCCACTCTGTCTCTGGTGAATCCTCTTACCCTCCCATGCCTCTGGCCTGTACCCCAGTTCTTATATTAAAAAAAAATTAAATTCAAAAAATTACAAAAAATTACTGATTACTAGCAATAGTAATATAGATGAACAGTGAAAGAAAGAATACAATGCATTCAGAATCGGGCAATTTTTCCATGAGGCAAAGACTTCCAAAGAATTTCTCATAATTCCCGGGGCCTCCCTGGTGGTACAGGTGGTTAAGTGTAGCGCTGTGAAGCTGTCAGCAGTCTCTGCAGAGCGGGCTCAATCCTGGCTGGCCGGGGAGATATCCACATGGCATGGCAGACCTCTCTTGTCTCTCCCACTGCTCCCCTGAGCAGTATATTTCAGTCTGTCTATTCTGCTCCCCGCTCTGTCTCTGGTGAATCCTCTCACCCTGCCGTGTATCAACCTGTACCCCGTTTCTTGTATACATAAATAAATAAAAAATCTTAAAAAAAAAAAATTCTCATTATTCCTGATTCAGTTCACTGATGAACTGAAACCATTGACAAGGGAGCTCTTTAATATGTAAGAATTAACAATCCGGAATCTCCAGAGAGAAAGTTTCTAAAATGAGACTTACGTTCTGTTTTCACTCTGTGTGGACCCAATGTAGCCATTGCCTTTAAAAAAATAAAAAAGAGTAAGAAAAATGTTGTCTGAGTTCATATACTGAAAGTATATTTTGTTATCTGTTTAGTATATACAACAGTATCGATAAGCTCAATAGCAAACACAGTGAAATATAATCTTCAGTTACTCTAATTATCAATGTCCAACATCATAAGAAATATATATATATAAAGAATAACAATTTTTCCTAGAGATGTTGTCAATACCTGAAATAATCTAAAGAACTCGACTAAGAAGTTCCTGAAAATGGAAAAATTAAGTAAAATGAGTCTGCACTTTCAAACAAGCACAGAAACTCCTTTAAGTTTTGGATGTCTAATGACAGAATGCAAGACATATATTAAGGGTTCAAATATTCACTTTTGTTCATTCAACAAATATTTATCTTTCTCTGTGAGCCAGAACTGGGCTAAGGAATAGGCATAAAATGGTTATATTTTATTTTTGGACAGCCTAAATAAACACTTTGCTGTACTTTTGCATAAATTATTATATTATTACCAAAAAAATACAATCAAACTGCTGACATGTCTCTTAAAATACTCTTGTATCCACTATTATCCGTAGTAGTATTAAATCCCTTAGAGACAATGTTGTAAAGTAAAGCAAATTTATAATAATCAAATTTTGATATATTAGTAAAAAACCATAATCTTAAAAAGTAGGCTATAAAAATGTATTTGTATTCCATTGATCCTTGTACCTTCCTAATTGTTGTCCAGTCTTCAAGAATATCAAGATCTTGTAGCATATAAACTATATATGGACGTTGAAAAGTCAAGGTTAATTTAGCTGTAAGATTTTTACATTTTGAATTAAACTTCAAATTTCTATTTTTTAAGAAATAGAAAAATAATTTCTGGACATATCTTCAGGCATGCTGAATTCTGCCTTAAAGTTATTCTTCAAGAAACCTAGTACCAGAATATATTCCAGTACTTCAGACGCTATAACCTCATTCTTTTAACTCTACTTACTGACTATAAGATACACCTTCAACTTATTCACTTTTTTTGTTTGTTTGTTTGGTTTGGCTTGGGACCATAGGGAATGCCAAGATTAAATGCAACATTAATTTAAAGACATTCCAATATTAGAACCATAAATATGTTTAAAATACACATGAGAATTAAACAATCATACCATATACCAAACAGCTGTTTCACATGAAAGCCCTTGTGTACTGTAAAGTCATATTATTTTCAAAGGTGAGATCATGACTAAATCTCCGTTCCCTACCCCTCTTAATTGAAACTATCTCCCTCTGTCTTCAATCAGTTTCATAAATCACTCTGTGCTTTTACAGAATCATGCAAATTAATGTCAATGTGTACCAATAAAAGTTACAAAGGTACACACAATGCAAAATATACATCAAGACATTAAGAAAAAACGGGAAATTTGGAAAAGGATATCTGAAACAACAACTGGCTTCTTTTTGTCAGGACTAAAAGGATCCTTTCTCTTTTTCTTGATTGAAGTTCATCATTCCACAGCTCTGGCAAATAAATAAAAATTAAGCATTAGCTGATGGCTACAGATCAAAGGGAAAAAAAAAAGACTAATTTCATGATAGCAAGACTTCATTGACAACTATGGATATATATATATATATATATATATATATATACGTATGACTATATTATTTCATAAACAGCTATATATAATGCTCCTCTGTCTTTATTAAAGTAAAATCAACTTGACATTTAATGACTAGGTGATAATATTTGTTAAACACTGTGAAATATATAAACATGCATTGTCTCACTTACTTGTCAAAGCTACCTGAGGTAGGTATTCCTATTATTGTCATTTTACAGACAAAAAGACTAATTCAGAAAACCTAACTTAACTGCCACCCATGTTCACCCAAACTATTTGGTAATGTAGCTTAGCTTGTTGGACTCTACTATGTCTACTCTATACTAGGACAATAAAATTTATAGTAAGTAATGTAACACATATGCAAGAATTATAGCATAACCCAGTAAATTTTCCACCCAAGTAGAGAGCCTTTCCACAATACCCACGAAGTAGCCAATTTCATACTGGACTTACTTTCTGCCTCCCTATAACTTCTATCCATTTGTCCTAGCTTGTATGGTACCAAAGAGTAGAGATTTTATTCCTTCCTTCATAAGACAGTCTTTTAACACTGAAAGGGAAAAATGCTGTAGCTGTCTTCCATTATATTCTTAACAATAATATTCTTCCTATTCTTATAGAATACTATTCTTATAGTTCCTGTTACAATTCTATTTTGTCCCTTTTCATGCACTCCATTTTCTACACCTTCCTGAAGTGTAAGTTCAAATCAAAGCAACAATCATTATCACAAGAAATTCATTAGATGTCTCACCTTTCCTCTCATTAAGATAACTTCATTTACATAACACTTATATTAGCAGACTAAGACATTCCAGTAAACCAAAAGGTTCAGTATCATTGGAACATCACAATCACATCATTCCATTACCTGAGGTAATATCAATGCTGTGCCTGTCCTCTTCAAGCCTTCTTATCTTCTCCTCTAGTTCACTCTGGACTGTATCATATAACAAAAGCTTTTCACTCTGGAAAAGAAAATAAAAACAGACTGCACATAAGTAGAAAGAAAAAACTGACCTATCTTAACTAAGAGTACTAAATAACTCACTTAAAGTACTTTTAACATATGATACTTTTCTTTGCTTTTATACTTCAGTTTAAAAAACTTTAAGAAGAAATGTCAAATATATGAAAGACATGAAAATAAAAAATATAAATCTACATTTAATTACATGCAGTTAAACTGTTTAAGAAAATCTAAATTTATATGTGATTTAGATAACAGGTAACTATTTACTGTATTTAAAAACTCATATATAAATATAAGTCCCACATGCCACAAAATGGAAAGTCTATCCCATAAAGTGAATCATAAAATGGATCATATTTTCTTTCAGAACAGTAACTGGGCCTTTATTCCTCACTTAATATCTGCATCACATTAAAATAGACTAATATCACAAAGAGAAAGATTCAAATACAAATTTTATAAAAGCTTTAATTTATATACTAATTATAAATCCAATAAAAGTATACACTATATCCAAATTTTTTAACAAAACTATAGAAACATGAACGATTTGCTAAGAGGTAATAAGATCATTAACTGGCAAATCAGACTAGAAGACCAGGTCTACTAGTTTTAGTCCATTATTTTATATAACACTGTATCCCTTATTTTAAAAGCTGTAAAATATACATAGGTGTAATATGCAGATCCATTATATATAAAAGCTATGATATATTTCCAACCTACCTATCACATGCTTCAATAAGGCTCTAAGGCCATTGAGATATAGCTAGGTATGATTTCCTATAGAGGCTTCTGGGATACAGTTAAATCTGATTTTTCTTTTTTGCTTTTTTGTTTTAAAGAATTATTCCTTTAAGATTTTTTATTTATTTTGTGTAGAAGAACTGGGGTGCAGGCCAGAAGTGTGGGGGCTGAGAGGATTCACCAGAGACAGATGAGGAACAGAATAGGCAAAGCTATTGAAATACACTGCTAAGGGGAGCAGCGGGCAAAACAGGAGCCGTCTGCTGTGTCATGTGGGTTAGCTCTCTGGCTGGGGATCGAACTCAGGCCATCTCAGTGGCAGCACTGAGACTTAACCCCTAAGCCACCAAGGAGGCCAGATCTGATTTCTTTGTGGAAGGTACAGACCATATCCATTGAGGCAGCATTACCAGCATCAATCATGAAGTTCTCATGTTTAAAGATTTCCTGAGTGTTAGGGAAATGATGGCTTTTGTCAATTTGAGGTGAGTCAGGAGGCAGCAGAAAGAAAGCAAAGCTGAAGAAGACTACAACTAGATCTCATACGAAAAA